ACCCTAGCCTCACCCCTATCTAGCCCCCTGCTGGGTGAGCCATGGCTTGGGCAGTGCAGATGGAAGGGCCCCCCTCCAAGGGCCACGGCTCTGACAGCTTGTGAAGGGCCTGTGTGGGTCAGCCAGGCTCAGCTAGCAGCGCTTATCAGACACACAGCCCTCCCCCAGTCTGCAGAAACTGTGGTGTAGGCAATATGTACACGCAAAGCTCACACACATACACATAAGCTCACGGACAGTGCATACCAAGTAGGGCCTTGAGATCCCCCAGCCAGCCAGTCGGCCAAACCTCAGCAGCTGGAGAGGTTAAAACCCCCTAACGTATCAAAGAGGAAGAGCAGCAGGAGGATGGAGGGAGGGAGGGACAGAGGAATGGGATAAAAAAAGGAGGAGAAAGTATATCTTCATGTTCGCTGGGATGTCTGCCTTGGTGTCAATTCCCCCTGCGGCTGTCATTGGGAAGGTTAGGAGGGGAGATAGTGGAACTCTGCCCGGCCAGGGAGAGAGAGGAGCCAGTATAGAGGCTCTCAGGCAAATGGTGAAAATACTGTGGCTACTTCAGATAGTAGATTTTTACTTTCCCTCTCTGGGCTGTGTGTTGGTGTAAATGTTTTTTTTTTTTACCTCTTCAGGATCTCTTCTGGTCAACCTTGTTGGTACCAGTTGTCCTCATTGGCACCAAAACCCTGTATGAGACAGCATTTCATTCCTGAGGTCCTGGTTGAGGTCATGGGTGTGAACTGAGATACAGTAGATTTAAGCTTATGTTTAGGTTAGTTAGGCTCTCCTGAATAACTGGGAATCAGTCCCCAACAAGTATAGCTAAGCAAACTGTATGTGGGTGTGAATCTGTGTGTGCACTCGTTCCATAAAATCAGACTGAATATTGTTTTACACACATGAATGAAACAACCTTCCCCAAACTTTGTGTTCCAAACTTGTCAAGTGGTTTAAACTCTTCCGTTGTCTCCATGCACTATAGTTATGGATAAGTATGTGTAGTTAAATATTTAGTAACCCTTGCTATTTTTTTTATTTTACACATGATTGGATGTAGCTTCTGTTTAAAGCTCTTGTTACTTTAAGCTCTGTAAGGTAAAACCATACAGCTAATACAGCATCAAACTTCAGCCAAGACGGTGCTACAGTTACTGCACAGATAGAAATGCTGCCCTGATTTACACCAATCAACTACATGTTAAAATATATATATAGAAACTGTATAAACTTATGACTGTTTTTTACTTAACAGAGCTATGAAGCAAAAGAAAAACTGCTAAAATCTAATATGAAATCAAATCACTAATAGTTTTTTTTAATGTTGTGGCTAATCAGTGTAAGTTAAGGGTCTTAGAATCCCTTGTATCATCTCATTCACCACAACACTACAGAGCCATTAGACGGTCTTGAAAGCTGAAGGTCAGAACAATGATCTCTTTTGCCCCCGAGTGTGTCGTCTTTTTCCTTGAACAGACACAAGGGGCGCTGTTGTGCCACAGTGTGCAAGAAGCTCCCTGTGAAGGCAAAGGGACGATATACAAATTTTCCCCTCAGGAATCAATAGATTATTAGAAATGTATACCTGTTTTTCCTGCTATAATATTTTTTTTTTACAACTATATTTCCTGCTATTCTATTTAACTATAACAACTTCTTCATCACATTAGTTGGTGCTGCATGGCTTCGCCCTCACAAGTCGCCCTCAGATCCAAACTGCAAAACTTTACAACTGCAATACATCATTTCTTCAGACGTTTTTTTTTTTGGGGGGGGGGGGATCACAGAAAGATTTTTGCTCTTTAAGGCTGAATGTAAAATTGTACCGACATCAAAATTACAGTGACCAACAGTCCTGGTTAGCTTGGGAATGTCTCAGTTTCAAGCTGTGTGTCCTACGTCTTGACCATAAACCACTAAAATGTATGTGTATAAATATATATGCAGGTTTGCATTAATGTGCAGTACTCTTATGGTTCCTGGTTTGGGAGTTTTAAATATGTTCACCCACATAAAGATGTATGAAAATGTCACAGCTCCTGTTCTGCAGCTCTGTAAGTATCAGTCACCAAATTGTAAAGCGATGGGTGGGAATTTTGGGAAGTTGTCATAGTTCAATTAATACATATCTTGATGCTCTGTGGGAACTTGCTATGATGTGAACCTTCTCCTACTACTTTACAGCTCCACCGACAGTAAAGAAAAATAGATAATGCACAATAGTTTTTTCCTTTTAATATTCACAGAGATGTGTCCTTCATGGATAGATTCATGGAAACTCTGAGTGATGTAGTTTGTTCTGGAATCTGAGCCACACAGCAACACAAACTTAAAACTTGCAAATCATCCGTTGGATGAAGCCACTAAGGCCAAACGGACACATTAATATTCTCACCGCCGCCTGAACGCTCAATGTCATTGTAGTCACTTACATTCTTTGTGTGTACTTTATATTATCACCATCTTTGTATGTATTTACGGGGCACAGTGTAATCTGTAAGAGTAGCCTGCATCATCCCTGTATCATTTGAATAGGTCTGAATATGTTAATCCCCACCTCAGTAGATATTGAATTGACTGGAGCAGCTCTGCAGGCAACACGAGCTCGACACGATCCTGTCGACAGCGAGGCTTTGATGCTGCAGTGTTGTAATGATAGTAATTCAAACAACATGATAATGGGGGGATAAGCAGACAAATGATATCATACACCAAACAGGTCTTAGAAGGAGAGGAAGAATAAGGCGAAATAGAGCGAGGTGCACGGAGAGAAAGACACAAAGATGTTTGGAATTCATCGGCTGCACTGAGGTAATTTATATCCTCCCTCACTGAGACAGTAGTTTCATTGCACGCATTTAGCCGTGGCAATCTTCAGGGCAGATGACATGTTCCATGTCTTTTTATTTATTAATTTTACACTGTGTCTCATTGCGGGAAACATGACTTCTCCCTGTAACCACAGGCGATGGAAGGGAGAGAGCAGAGCGGAGAGCGTAGGGAGACAAACGACTCTATCATTCTCTCTGTCTCTCTAGGTCATGCTTCTCCAGCTAGCTCATGCTCATTCCCTTTGTTTAAAGTTCGGAGCGTGTGCCAGGCGTGCCCCAGCAAAGCCTCTGTGTGGAGGAATCCATTATGTTTGTATTTTGGCATGGGTGAAAGGATTTGGGAGGAACCATGATGACTTTATAAACAGTTATAGGCCGTTTGTTAGGAGATGCCAGAAGGCTTTCATTTTACAGTATCACGTTTTCATCTTCTGCCTCGGCTGAGCACCGAAAATTCCCCTCGCTGGTATTTGAATGGCGGAGGAGAGTCAATGTATTCAGTATCAATAAAGAGACTGTGAACTGTGAAAAGTCAAGCTTATTTGTCTAGACAGTGACGGAGTCTTAGTGAAGTGGGAATAACTAGTTGCTGTACAGTCAGACAGTTAAAACAAGGAGTAGCATGCACACATGCACAACACTTTGCCCTAGTGACTCAGAGCTATTGATAGAACACATACATACACACACACACACACACGCTATTGACTCTACCCTTTCAACTCTGCTGTTCTGAACTCTTCTTTGTTTGTGTGGGAAGCTGCATTTACATAAGAGGCTTATGTCAGCCGCCATATAGTTTCCCCCCCTTATTCCAATGAAAACAAAACGGACAAAAGCTATTGTCTTGTTAAGTAATGATTTTTGGATTTCTCCAAACCAGTTTGTGCTGTTCTGGAGGTGGTTAGGGGCTTGTGGTGATATCAAAGCTGGGCGAAGGTTCGTGGGAGTTGGAGCTGGTACAACAATGCGAGAAGATGAATGCTGTGGTTGACAGCTGTAAGGCTTATGATATGGCTGTTTGTTTATGTAGAATGGGAGTAATATGACCTTGTGGCTTTGATGTGTGATTGACAGAAAGTGGGTGGATGGGATTTAGCAGTGATCTGTGTTTTTTTCAGCATCTTGCGAGCTTGTGCATGTGCGCAAAGACGCACAATGACACGGGTACTGTACAGTGCCCAGACACAATATCAGTAAACGCAGTGGCTCAAGCAGATCTGATTGGTTCAGGGATTCTCATATATGTCAAGGCATTTGTGTAATTGCTTGTTTTCACATAAAGACATACGTGACCTGTATATGATTTTCCATGAAGCCTTTTATGTATGTGTAGAATTTAACTGTGAATGACAGGAGAGGCTGCAACTTGTATCATGCACCATTGTTATGTTGCACAGTATATTTATCCAAATGTGCTTTTGTGTTTGTGGTTCTGAAGTCGTGCACATGTGTGTTGTTTTTTCCCCTTTGTGTTGTACAGTATGTATCGTGGTGTCTCTGGGTATCAGAGCTGCACCAGCTCCTGTTTCATCGGTTGTGGACCACTGAAGCACATAGTTGCTGTTCTTTGCGACTCGCTGTCTGTGCTGCAAGCTTCCCTCTCCACTCTCTTCATGGAGCATCGCTCTGAGAGAGCATGCAACACGATAGATAGATGAATGTATGGGCACGGTGAGGTCGGGGTTAAAAATGAGTCCGAGGGTTAAAGAGGTCAAAGGAGAACGAGCACAATCAGAAGAAGAAGAGTTGTGCTGTCTCATCCCACTGAATGGTGCGAGATTTAAATGCCCTGCGACGTGATTTGAGTGGATGAATAGACTTTAATCCTCAGTTGAAATTCAAAGCCAGAGTGTTTCCTTACATTTCAAGAAGTGTCAACACATTTGAACAACGGAATGTTTCTAAAATTAAATTCTAATTCAAACCCATTCTGAAGCTCATGACATATTAGCACACACCAATCCGATAGTTCCACACCCCGTTCCATACTCATTTAAAAACTCTTGCCAGACATATGCATAACCAATCCGCTTTAATATGCCTCTGTGGCTGCTCTGATGATGTTAACCCTGTGTTATCTAATGTTTATCTGCACTATAGCTGCTGCATAAACATTTTTATTTCTCATTTTCTTTCTCTTTTTTCCCTTTTCTGTGTTGCAACTGTCAGCAAGCGATGGAGGACCTGCTGGAGGACGAGGATGAGGATTTTGACAAAGATGACAAGGTAATTATGTCTAATGTCAGTGATGCTCTCGTATATAAACACGTTTCCACTCACTCGCACACACACACTCATTGGCACACTGCCTCAGGAGGGGTTGACACTGCTTCACAGACCGGAAACGCAAACAGACAAATGAAATGACTCCATCTTTCCCTCCCAACTCCTCCCCTGTTCAGTTATTCTGGCAGCCTGAGGCGCAAACACATGTACAGAGATTGTACAACCTTTTAACCTTTTGAAAAGTTTACTCTGTAGCTGGCACACATGGCATATTCCTCACCTTTTTTTCTTCTGTGGTGTCTGTAGTCGTTTACTGCACCATCTTGTTTTTTTCCCTTCAAATAACACTAAGTTGAATTTACGTTACCAACATCGACAGCTACCTGAGAACATACACCCATATAAATGCTTAGTTAGGTATTTAGGTCCATTCACTGCTCCTTTATGTCCCAGTAAAACAGCATCTGGGCTTGTCCAGACACTATCATGTAACAACAGGTGGCTGCTTTACTGCCTCTGTGCATTTACGCTGTAGGACGAGCCACTGAAACAAATGCCACTGGATAGGATACAGCACCTTGTCAATGTTCCACTTGCTAATGGTAATTGCGCCAGTAAAGCTATTTATCCACCTACTCTGTTGTCTGAGGCAAAAAATAATTCCAACTGGAGCAGAATCATAACTTAAGCTTTTAAGTGAAGTCCAAATCTTTCACTGTGAAAACTGTAAAGTACCTTGACTAAACAGTCTGGAATCTGAAATTATTCGAGCTGATACTTGATGCCTTGCAGCCGCACTCCAGCAATATGAAGGTTAGCAGGCTAAGATGTGGTAATTTGGCTGATCTGGCTTGGTAATCTTTTTGGAGCAAAACTATTACCACTGCTGTTTGTAATGGTAATTGCCGAGGCCTTTGACCAGGAAATTTGATATTTGAAAATTAATTTTGCTCGAGGAAACAGTTTGTCCTGAATGAACTTATGCAACTGCAACCTCGCTGCAACCTCTGTGAGGGGCGTAAGTGCAAGTAGGTAACAAAGGGGTTAAAAAGAAAGTGTTATAGTGCAGATGGCCAAATAGTCATCCCCACCAGTGAGTCAGCCAGTCAGGCAATCAGTCAACAAGGCAGCCAGTAGGGCGATGAGTGCACAAAGATACGTGAGCATTACATCCTCTCCCACAGAGATGCAGAGGCAAAGTTTCATGGCTGTGAAGTTCCAAGGCTGAAACATACAGGGGGGGGCGCTGACTGAAGATATGCACCAGGCAACCTTGAACCATTTTTTTTAACCCCTTCTTTACATCTGCCCTCCATTGCTGCATTTCGAACCACCTCTCGGGGAAAATAAAATACAAATACAGGCATTTGGAAAACTGCAGATTATATGAAATACATTTGGACTTTCATATTGAAATGAGGTGCAGTGGCAGCTTATGCAGCCTCCGTCAGATTTCGTGCCAAACTGATTATTCCTCGTAAGAAGGCCCTGCTCTCTGTGCTCACACAGCACTGGGATGCTGGATAGCACAGCTGCCACAAAGGCTACAATTTACCAACTCTGGCTTCATACATTTTGATCTATTGCTCCCCTCGACTGTTAGCATTTCATTTGAGCTGTAGGGAAGTTGAAAGGGGGGCATTTTTCTTTTTTCTTCACCTACATCTCTCTCTCCTCCCACTCTCCTTCCTCCCTTCCTTCAATCGTCCCCTTCCCTGCATTTTTTTCCTTTCATTCTGACACAAATTCTCTCTATCTCTCTTCCCTTTGCTCTCCCACCAGCCTGGTGTTGGAGAACAAATGGAGTTTCAAGGCTTAACAAATTTGTCTTTTTACATTGCACATGAGGTCTTTCACATTGGATGTGAGGTAACTTAAGATTGTATGAGTAAGTATTAAGGACGGGTCAAAGGAGGCCTCTTTTATGGCACAGGCCTTTAGGGAGAGAAGGAAGAAGAGAAAGGAGAGGAGAGGTAAAAAAGATTAATAAATGTGCCAAGGCCTCATTTTAATTGAACTTGAAGCATATGTTGCAAGTATGTACAATCTGTCCCAGATGTTTACTCCGACCATGTGCGCGGCTCTTCCCAGTGCACCACAAGGCAGCTATTAGCTGGATAACCTTTGCTCCAGAGGCTAAATGGGGTATTACATGGCCAAAAAGTAGAGCACCTGTTTTTCATTGCAGAGAGGACCCCTTGCAGGCTTTTTGCCTTGGATCACCACATGTGTTTTGACTTAACAGATTGTTGGGCAGACGTGAAAAGTGTCTTTCTTGTGAGCAAGCACTGATATTAGTCACTTAATCTCAATGAAAGTCCAACATCAAGACTAATTGATGGGGATGGCTCAGTTGTTTAAGCCAAACAGGCAGGCACATGACGGCTGAAGGAATGTTAGACATGGCCGACTTTTTTCTTCTCCTTCTCCCCGACTCCCCCACGTTTTGTGTTTGAGTGTGTGTGCTGACCTTCAATGTGGAATGTTGCTTGATTCCTATTGCATACATACACACACACACACACACACACAGAAAACCACACACATGCGTGAAATATGCCCCAGTTTTTAACCTCAATTTTCAAAAAACTAATTTTAAACACAAGTTGCAGGTGCATTTCTTTCCAAAGCACATTAGTGATGCAGTACATAGATGGAACAGAAAATGTAAAAATGGATGCTGCGAAATAGAATTCAACATATATACCACGTGGAAAGAACGTCTGTGTGCTACAATAAAGAGGTTTTTAAGATAAATAAGGATTTCACACTTTAGATTCAGATGGTCCAAAAGAACCACTTTGTCTTATTGCAGAACCATTTTCAATGTGTGTGGATGTAATGGTTGAAGAATCTCTGTGTCACCAGCACACTGTCATTATCTTACTCTGCAGTTAATGTGTTTGCCTAATAAGAGATATTGAATTGAGATGAAATAATATACCATTCCTTTTTTTTCTAACTCTATTTTGGACGTGCTCGGAAAATGTATCCAATATGCTATACTTAAACACACCTTATTGTCTGATATCTATATATTCATTATCAGTTCTACAAGTCAATAGATATATATATCTATGAAACAAATAGGATTACCGCCAGAACTCACTTTAGACTTCGTCAACCTTGTGCCATGTACATCTCCTTCCTAGTAACACTGATTATTTTTTATTATTATCAGAGATTATTGGCTTTGTTTTTGGAAAAATATGTTGAGAGCATTTTCACAAATAATGGAATAGACTTTTATTGTGGCAGACATTTTGACTTGTCATGTTAGATGAAGCACAAGCCTACATTAATTTATTCATGCACAATCCCAGGGCCCTGACACTGGGGAGAGGTGGAAAGCAGCAACTGTCAATGGCTTCAACCCCAAGATTTTTATTTATGTTCTGTCTTTTTTGAATTTTGAAATAATTCCCCCTGTGTTTTTGTGCCAATTCAATATCTTCCAATTCAGCTTAAAATAACGTTGAGAGAGTGAGGTAGAGTGAGGTACAGCATTTCCAACTCAGTGCTATATTTGCAGGCTCCTGGCTGCAGGGGCTTCAGTGTGCAATCTAGCCTGTGATGTCTCCTCTCACCTGCGGGGTGACCGTCCAGAGCTGGCATGAGGCAATCACCTGCGGCTCTGCATGGGTGCAACTGTTTGTGCGCTTCGATATGTTTGTGTGTTTGTGTGAGCTTCTCTGCTAGAGTGGCTCAACTGCCTCCCAGAGGAGAATGGGGGGGGCTTACTGGAAAAACGGAGTGTGTGTGTGTAAGAGAGAGAGAGACTGAGCGAGGAGATTACCCCTCACACGGTTGACTGGTCACTGAAGCGCTCGTGCTCCGCTCAGCTAGGCTCCACTAGCCTCAGGAGGACCTGACACCGATAAGATACACATTGCAATCATGTCCTGCTCACGGGCTTACTGCTCGGTGCACTCCTTCTCTCTTTCTCTCCCTGCGTCTATCTATCTCTATCTCGCTCGCACACATACACACGCACGCGCACCTACAAAATCTTTCTCGTCTCGAGTTTCTCGCTCATTTTCCGCTTCCATCTCCCTCATGTGCACAGTGGATGGTAAAATGCAGAGTTGATATTATTCATTAGCTCTTATTGATCTGTAAAATCTGAATTTTTAACTATAATTTAGGCAAATTTATTTACCCAGTTGTTCTCCACAGGAATCGGCAATTTGTTGTTTTTTTTCTTTCAATTTGAAGGTCAAACCACTTTCCAAGACTGGTTTTATCCCTTTTAGACATCAGCTTATTAATTATGTCATACAGGGTCATGATACGGGGGGGGGTTAATACCCAGCAAACCCTTGGTCACAAAAAGGTTATCGTAAGTTTGGATGTACATCTGGTGAAGGCTAATGGGGTTTTTCCTACGTTTGGAAGTCTTACCGATGACTCCACTGTGTATATGAGACTGAGAATACAAGATCCTCTCAGTTTCTTCATCTCTCCTGCCAAACAGTCGTCTTCATACCCCTCAATATCTCTTTATCCCCCTCATCTGTACTGCTGAGACAGCCGCTCCACCCTCTGATGCTTTCCCTGTAGGTATGACTCATGCACACACATGTTCACACACACAACCCTACACGTGTGTTTATTAATTGGCTCACAGAATGGTATTAGCACACTGCACCACTTCCCATCCTACAGGCCTGATTTTTAACATACATTGTCTGTCTGTTGTCTTTCCTTCCCCCCCATCTATGTCACAGCTTCCGTCTCTTCTGCTGTGTACCATTAAACGAGCGCCTCAAGTGCCTCTGCTCTCCGCTCCATGAAATGTTAAATAAGGCACACACTTTAACTCAGTGTGAATATGGTTAAAACAGTTTTTTTTTCGACTTATCTCCAGATAGCATACGGCGCTGCGCTGCACCTTCCCCGAGCCCTGGCGCTCCCCTCTCAGTCCCAGTCACGGCACTGCGCTGATCGCTTAGATAGGATAGTGACTTGGCATAATGTAATTGGACTAAAGAGAGCACTGGGAATTATATCAATGTTCTGCAAAATAATAAAAAGAGTGTGACTGAAATTTTTGTTCTGGGGGGAGGCTATTGAGCGGGGTTGTCCTCTGGTATCAAGGGGTGTTCTCAGAGGCTGAGGAGGGGGATAGAAAAAGTTTGAATGTCTGTGTTCTTTTCTTCTCGCCGCCTGTGAAGGATAAAAAGCGTCACGCTGTAAAAGATGCTTTTGACTTTTCCGCTTCATTTTTCTTCCCATCTCATTCTGTGTGTGTGTGTGTGTGTGTTTTTCCATTGTTCAGCAGAGACGCTGGTAGGAACTGCATTTTAATCATGTTTGGCTAATAGAGAGGAATGAAAACAAAAAGGAGGGTGAAAGAGGCATGCAGCAGTATTGTCTCTCTATGCAAAATACACTGCATTGTTTGTTTGTTTTTCCCTCTTTGTTACGCACATACATCAGGTGGATCATCCCTCACTATTTCTATTCCCCCCAGATACACATCTCCTGCTTTGTCTTCTGCTGTCATCTCTCCTTCATTCTCTGACTCTGTCTTTCTCTTAACACTTCTACTTTAACTCTGGTTTTTGTTATTTAAATTAACTTTTTTGTAGTTTTATTATGTATACCTGCACTTTAACAACATTTACTGAGTACTCACCACTGCTATTGTTGAGATTATAGACTAGATGCTCCCCTGCATATCGCTATATTCAACAATTCACCCAAATAAAAGCCTCACATGGCTTTTAAATCCATCCTGTTTCTACAAAATACAAAAGTCTAAACAAAGGTGAGTATTGACAAGTGCCTACATTTACAATGTCTACATTTAGTGGTAGACAATATTATACACACATGGCACAGCCTTGTTTCTTCAAGACCCCACTTGTAAAGCATCCAATATTTTTTTCTCTCTAACCCTTTCACCTTAATTTCTGTGGGTTGTAAAGAGAAAATCTCACTGTAATCTATCCAAAAGGACCCTAAACCAGGCCCCTGGGAGGAGAGCTGTGATAAAAACCATATCCTCGAGGATATGTTGGCTTCCTGGCACTTTGAGTGGATACGAACGATGGTGGTAAGTGGGCATGTGTGTGGCTCTGGCACTTGACTCCTGGTGGTGTTTGTCGCTGTCTTCGGGTTTCCTATTAGTTCATCGTCTGTCCAGCGGCCTCTGTCTTCCGTCCTGTCGGGGGTTTGTGTACACAGCACCTGTTCCCTGTCCGCGTCTCAATTAACACCCACACACTGCACGTTCGGCCCGCAACCTTTACCCCACCTCGAGGCCTCTGCCTCTGCCTGCTCTCTAAGGTGATGGGGACGCTAACGGGGCTCCAGCATGGAAGGCTGCTTCCGTGTTCCGTGTGTGACTTCCCTTTTGCACTGTCGACCTTTTACACTGTGATGTTAGAGCTGCAGATTGAGGTGTGACAACTTTGTTTCTGCTTGTGGGACTTCTGGCTCTGGGGTACTTCAAGGGTGACACTGGGAGTAACTTGAGAGTATTTGTACTTGTGTTGAATATTATCTGTGAAGGGACAGGGACCATAGAGGAATACAATCTCAGTTATTTATTGTACTTTTTTTGTGTGTGCCAAAAATACACTTTTAGATTAAGATATTTTAAAACAAGCTCTCATTACATCTCTCTCAGAAATAAGAGTTGTTTTCACAATTTATAACCCTTCATTTTCAAATCAGAGCCTTGAGTTATGTGTGTGTGCGTGTGTGTCGTGGATTTGAATGCACTTTTCTAAATAGTTGCTACAGAAACAGCCAAACTATTTCATATTACTAAAGCAAGTCCCACTGCTCATTATGCCTAATGCAGCGATGCCTATTCCCCCCAACCGTTATTGTTCTGAAACGCATGCACACAAGCGGCTGTAGCAACTGAACTTTTTGACTGATGAACTATGCATCAAAGCGCTACGACGAGCACTCGTTGCACTGTAGGTGAGGAGTTCTTGTGCGCTCTTATCCGCCCAAAGTAACTCTCTCTGAGACTCTCACCGGATAGGATGTCGAAGATGGCACACACTCAGCCCTCCCGGTCTCTCATTGGACAGAATGTGGAGCACAACACTTGACAGCAGTGTCGTCTGAATTTGAAAGTCAGACATGTAAGGAGGCAGCCGCCACCTTTTCTTTTAACAAGAGTCATAAATCTGTAATGAGCACAGAGAGGATGCATATTTTATTTACTTTTTTGAAGACATGATCCCTTCACTTCATAGAGATGCACTCTCGCTCTGTCGTTTTTTTACCTTCCAAAACAGGGTTTAAAACAGTGGCTGTTACAACAGTTTCTATTGCCTGTCTCTCTGTGCACATGGAGATGTAATTAAAAGTACGGCAAAGTTTGCAAGTTTTAAAGACGAAGGTGATGAATCAAATCTAATTTAACCCAAACAAGACCAAGATATTATTTCAATAATAAAAAAGGAATTCAATAATGTCAAAATTAAAAAAGTAGTTAAATAGAATAGACCCTTGTGGATGCATTATCCTTACTGAATCAAAAAAGTATATCCATCTTAAAAATACATTTCTGACATAATTATCTATATTCTGCACTTTATCTAAAGATATAAAAGACCATGTATTCTTTTCCTTTACTTATTCTGTTATAATTCAGCACAGACGGAGAGACTGAGACAGACAAATAGACAGAACAGTCTGACAGACGGATGGGGGGAGATGGGTTGGAGCTGCTAAACCAGGCCAACAGAGGACAAGAGTAATGTTGTCCCATTCATCACACACTGCCATGCTGGATCCCGGGAAGGACAGGGGAAGGAGAGAGCAGGAGCAGGGGAGCAGAGGTGAAGAAGGGTGGGGGGGGTTCAGGCTTGATAGGGGTTGGGTGGCATTCAGCAGGAGGTGAGGAAGAGGAAGTGCAGAAGGTACAGGGTGGTGTGTGTGTGTCTGTGTCGTGGCCGACCTTGAGTCTGATGGAGTTGCTGGTGTGGTGGAGGTGATGGGAGACCCCCAGGGGTAGATGGGGGGGGAAAGATGATCAGTGGCAAATAACCTCCCACCACCCCAGACACATTAGAGACGTGCACACAAGCGCACACTCATAACAACAGAAACCTTTCTCTTTAGGAGAGGAAGCAGAGGTCAAACTGAAAATAAGTCACCATCAACACCTCTACCTTTTATTCCCTCTTTCTCTCGTCCCCTCTATCCCTCTCTTTTAAATACGTGTATATTTATCCTCGCTGTGGGACTGGGCTGGGTGAAGAGATTAATTAGCACTAGAGAGCATTGTCTGCCCGCTCCACCTTCAGCTGACAGTCTTAGTGCAGTTTGACTTTGGCCTTGTGGGCGCAAACCCTCTGCCAATAAAGATATTCTCATAGAAATCTTTATGTACCTCTGATACACACAGAAACACTTATTACGCTCTCCCCTCACATCCAGCCATGTGGGCCCGTGGGAGAGGGGACGCCGCTCCACGTCTCATCGTGCCCTGATGAGAGACAGGAGGACAGGCGGCGCATTTTAACGCCCTAGATAAACAGATATTTATGTGTTTATGATCAAAACAGAGGAAGGGAAAAATTTATGTATTCCCCCAAATTCGCTCGTGGATTAACTGTTGTGTTGGATAAATAATTTATTTTAAAAAAATCACATCTGCCGCTTTCACGTGGCACTGGCAAGGTGCCAGGGTGCATGGTGGTCTCTGAGGCTGGGCCTTTGTCTCATATTTTTGTCATATGCTGACAGCGGGGAGATGTTCTTCTAGGCCACTGGGTCCCCAAGTTTCTTTTTTTTTTTCTCCCTGAGGAACTATTCTCAAATCCCAGTTGGTTAAATCTGTGACTTATTGGTCTACAGTAGAGTTTGTAATACTAATGACACTAATGGAAGATATTAGATTTATTTTTAAGGGCAGTAGTCTGTCTATACCTGTCCCTGTTTTAGCCAAACTATTTCAATTGTCATGAAAATTAAACATTTGACTCACCATGAAAATATCATATCCATGTTCGTGTTACTTGCCTTATTTTGAAGGTAGACAATTTTAACATTGTATTATTTTGACTCAGCATTGTAACTCACATCTGGCACCCAAAATACCAATAGGTTGAACCACAATATATTTTTGTATTTATGTGATTACAGTTTTTAGTGACAGATACATGTCTACTGTTATTGCTAATTGCATGCACTCTTTATTATCCTATCATTCCTAATCCCTGCTCAGGCTTTGGAAATTGAATTTGTCTGTTGCCACTAAAGCATTCCTCAACTTTTGCTAATTTTTTTTTTGCCTTTTTTTTTTCCTGGGGTGAAAATGGGAGGGGTCCTGACTCTCCGCAGTCACAAATTCAACAACAGCGCTTTCAGGCGCCCTTTGGGAGCCACATATTAGCATCCTGTCACATTTTATATGACATTTCAATTTTTACTGTGCTGCCAGACTGAGAGAGGACAAAAGGAAAAACAAAGAAAAACAGGTGCAATTTTAGCACAGCAGCAATGAGCAGAAGCCAGTTGGGGTTCAGACTCATTTTGTGCTGTGATGGGATATATATGCTGCTGCATTATAACCAGTTTATCATTTTATGGTGCAACCCAGCAGGGAGAGCGACGCCATCGGAGGTTAAAACAGTCTCAAATGGCTCTCTCTATTTTCACCTAGCAGATATAGGACAGATATTTGAGTCCATCCTGACAGTCCTCAGTGACCTCTCTCTTGTTTAGCTCGAGGCCTTAGGTCAGTACAGAACAAACTGTCTTTGCAAAGTTTACAACTGCTCACTTTGCACTTTTTGTATATAGACGTACTCTGCCACGATGCTCTGAAAGAGAAATGGAGCAGTCGAGTACACAGAGGCATTGTGAAGTGTTCTTTTGTTAAATATTTAATCAAGCATTTCAAGGAGTTTACCACATTTGTTTACCACAGTTTACCAGCAAGTGCAATGTGGTTAGCCTGAGTGGGCTGTTTCTCTCTGTGTGTGTGTGTGTGTGTGTGTGTGTGTGTGTGTGTG